CATACTTTATCACTGGTCGGATCTGTGGTGGAATGTTTACCATTGCTGCTGCCAAGATTGTCTTGTGATGCTGCATTCTGATGTTGGTCACGGTCTTTAAACTGCCATGGTCTGGCGTACAGAGGTCTTGGCCAGAAGTTTGGGGATACAACAAGCAAGAGGGCACTTGCTTCAACCATTAGTCGTGCTGACACCTTTCCATTTTCTGCTCTGTGCATGCTGCAGTCATGCACATGAAAAAGTACTCACCTTATGAAAACTGTTCGTGCATCTCGTACACCGACCAAAGGTGAAGGAAGAGCCATGCCAGGAGTCGTACACACCCGTCAAAACTCAGGGCTTGTGCGATCCCTGGTCAAGAGGGTGGGCACCAGGGAGACATGTACTGTAGTACAATACTCTGCCAATCAGGTTATGGTTATACCAAGAGTACATAACCCAAGAGTGTGCAACTCCAGCTATGGGGTCTGCGACGGCAGAACTTCACATCACGTGATGAACCCGTGCACTCTAGTGCGTGAGAGCGATAGATACTGGGTTGTACGCAGCCCAGCTTTGGGTACAACTCTCTTGTGGTCACTTTGCACTGTTTGCCAGCATAACCTTTTGAACCATGTCACGTGATGTGAAGTTCTGCCGTCGCAGCACAGCATAGAGGTTGTGCAGGCAGTTGCACACTCTTGGTTATGTACTCTTGGTTATACCGTAAAGTACCGCCAGAGTGCCCCGTCTCGCGAGAGCGCCCCACCTTGATTTTACAGCCAAGGGAAGAAAATCGTATGGCAGAATGCTACTAAGTTTGTACGATGTGAGAACCTTCGTGTACTAAGGTCACACTTGGTATGCTTTTATGTGGAGCTCGAAGGTAAACTGGGTACGGATTGACTGCACAATGTGCAATGTTTGTACAAGGTCCGTGTCGTATGACCTACAGACAGGAATCCACCTCCACAAGGCGGCCACGAAAGGACGAGATGGTGGGGCGCTCTGGCGGTACTTTACGGTACTTATAGTCAGGAGCACTACGTGTCCGCGCCTTGTTAGGCTGTGTTTACATGAGAAATTTCAACCCGGGTCGAGTTCAGCCCGGGTTGAAAGTCTGTACGATAGACAAAAGAGGTGAGCGTTTACCGTAAAGTCCGCAGCAAACACCCACTTCGCTGCAAACGCCCACCCCAGCGGGTCCATACTATTTTTGTCTTTTCCAGGTCAATATAGTTGTAGAAACCTAGCATGAAGGTTGAATGCGTACCACAACGACTAAAATGCCTACAAACTAGGGCCGTGATCGTTTGGTCGGATCCAGATCCAGATCCATCGGATCCACTGGATCTGCAATGATCGATTGGTCGAATCCGGATCCAGATCCTTCGGATTTGGATCCGAGCAACCCTGCGGGAGCAGGGTTGACTGGATCCATCTGATCCAAATGTGACCTTTGTGCGTATATGGTGGGTAAAAATCATTTTTATACTCATTGTCGTACGTCTAGGGGACTTTTGTTGACTTTTCGTACGACGCGGGCGATCAGTACGACTTGTGCCCTTTTTTGGGTGACCTGTCAGCGCCATTTTTTACTTCGTCAACATGGCAACAGCCAAGGTCCGCAAAAAAGTGTTCGGTTGATTCTGAAGGATCTGTAGCTAGCAGTGCGCTACGTAATTCTAAACAAAAGTCTGGATTCGTGAATTTAGAACTAACTTCGAACGATTGAATCTGGTGTCATAATTAATGTTACTTTGTAGATTACAGAGAGGACAGAAACATTACTGTTCGGCTCACAACCAGAGAGAGAGAGAGAGAGAGAGAGAGAGAGAGAGAGAGAGAGAGAGAGAGAGAGAGAGAGAGAGAGAGAGAGAGAGAGAGAGAGAGAGAGAGAGAGAGAGAGAGAGAGAGAGAGAGAGAGAGAGAGAGAGAGAGAGAGAGAGAGTACTTGTGTTCGATTTCAGAAAACACGTACCTGGGTAGTTGCCATGCTCACGTAACCGTGGCAGCATCGGACGAGGACAAAGTTCTAGACTCCAAATTCTGGCCGGCCACCATCCAGCACACAGTGCGAAAGTGGCGCTTTGCTGATGCCCAAGGTAACAAGTCGTCTTCTACTTCGCGGCGAGGCAGTGATGATCAATCCTGAACTGTCTTGCTAACAAACCAACATACACAACGATGCAGCAACAACGACTAAATCCCAACGCCCCTGTATTCACCCCACGATCGAAACTAGCCTACCCGCTCTACCCCGCTCAGCCCTCCTCTGGCCGACCCGCACACATTGCATGTCCAGCGCTAAATCCATCAGCGTTCCCTTTTTTCCCTCAATCCCAGCGTGATTTAACCCTAGTATCTCTGAATTGTCGCTCTGTTGTCAACAAGTTGTCTGAGCTCTGCGTTATTGCCGAATATGCTAAGACTGACATAATCTGCCTAACAGAGACGTGGCTCTGTCCCTGGAACCTGCTCTCACTGTCAGGCTATATCTGCATCGGCAGAGATCGACCTCCGGAAGACAATCGGTCAGCATATTGTAGCCGTGGGTATGGGGGTGTTGCCGTACTTGTCCGTTCGGACTCCTTTCCGTACGTCTCCCCTCGTGTCGACCTTCAACGCCCTGGCTGCGAGTCTGTGTGGCTTGAACTTGGCTCTCCCTCTACTCAATCTCAGAATCCCATCTTACTATGCTGCATGTATCGACCACCTTCACAGAGCACAATGCAATTGTCGTACTTTTGTGACATGTTTGTTGAGGCATTACAGTCAGTCTGTTTAGATTCTTAGGATCTGTTAGTGACTGGCGATTTCAACGCCCACAACTCAAGCTGGTGTCCCACCGATTCTACCTCGAAGGCTGGTGATCTCCTTAGCACAGTATTTGCTGCTCTTGGGCTCCACCATACGGTTGACTTCCCCACTCATTCCTCGCCTAATGGCTCTGTTTCATGTCTGGACTTGGTGATCACCTACCGACCACGCCTCGTGCGCTCAATTGATCAAGCACCTCCCTTGGGTATGTCTGACCATATACAGATTGTTTGCACTTTATGTTACGCCCCTATTTCGAACTACTTCCCCAACTCTTCCACTGGTCCTCCCTCTTCACTGTATCGCTTCAAACAAGTACCTTCGCACCTTTGGCAATTAATCAACGCTGATTTAGCTGGCTACAACTGGTCCTCTCTGAACTCGTACACTGATGTTAATGACGCACTTCATCACTTTGATTGTGAGCTCCAGTCCGCCTTCCGTCGTCACCTCACCTCACTCGGAGCCACCCACACTGTGACATCTCCACGACCCCGCATGCAATCTCCACCATGGGTTACTGCTGAGATCAGGTCTGCTGTAAAACGCAAGCGTGATCTATATAGTGTGTACAAAAAATATTCGACAACAGTAAATCATGCAGCTTATAACCGACAAAGGAATGCTGTCAAGCACCTGTCTCGGCAAGCACATCGTCAATTTATACGCTCCATCCAAGCATCACTAACGTCACCGAATCGACCTACACTCTTTCAGTTTGTGCGAGCACAGCGGCACACTTCCGGCCGTGTCATGCCCCAAACGATGATAGCATCCGACGGTACGGTAGCCACGTCCCCCAGGAGCATAGCTGATGTTCTGAACACTCAGTTCACCTCATTTGGGCTACCTGATGATCCTTCGTGGCGCATTCCCCCTTGGTCCCAGTCGCCTTTCATATCTGTTTCGTTCCGTACAATCACTGTCACTACGTTTCAAGTTCGGAAATATCTGAAGCGCCTGAAATGTGGAAAGTCTCACGGCTCAGATGGGATCCCGAATGAAGTGCTGCAGTCTCTTGCACCATCAATAGCCTATCCTCTCGCCATTATTTTTAATATGTCATTTCGAACTGGTACATTCCCACAGGATTGGAAATCCGCCATCGTGACACCGCTTTACAAGGATAAAGGCTCCCGTGCTTGCCCGGCAAACTACCGCCCCATCTCTCTGCTGCGCACAGTTTCCAAACTTTGTGAGCGTATTGTATTCGATTCCCTCTACCTGCACATCGCTCCGGCTCTCTCACCAGCTCAGTCGGGATTCTGCCGTGGTGACTCAACTCAATACCAGGTGACTCGACTTGTCCAAGACGCGCCTGGTTGTGATGAAGCCGAGACCCAAGGTCTGCAGAGCATCCCAGACCACGCCACCACTCCCCTTATTCATGGCTCACACATGACGGGTTTACGTGGCTCTAGTAAAAAAAAAGACATAGCGACAAAGAGGAACTGTGGGGAGCACGTGGGAATGGTGTTTTTCGACTTGGCTAAGGCATTCGACACTGTTTGGCATCGTGGCTTACTTGCCAAGTTGGAGGTCACCTTCCGGGTGGAGGATGCTGCCTTGCGTTGGATATCCTCGTATCTGTCTGCTCGTTCTCAGGCTGTTCGCTTGTTCTATTTCTTGTCTGATCCCCTCCCTGTAACGTCTGGAGTGCCCCAAGGTTCCATTCTGGGTCCTTTGTTATTCTTGCTTTACGTTAATGACCTACCTTCAGTTGTCCCCGATGTTAGTTTGTATGCAGATGACACTGGCCTTATCTGTTCTGATTCCTCCCCTGCACAATTACTCCTTACCATGCAGCATCGCATCAACAGCGCAAACGTGGAAACTCCAGCCCAATTTAGACAAGACAGAAGCCATGTATATTTCTTCATCCCCTCCTGATCAACCATTATACTTCCCTGACTCGACTATGCCTATCCGTGTTGTTACTCAGCACAAACATCTAGGTGTGATGTTTGACTGCAAACTCTCTTGGGCTGCACATGTCAACTGTGTATGCACGCGAACCAGTTCAGCATTAGGGGTATTACAACCACATTGCACTCATTTGCCCATCCAGTGTAAACTATTATTTTATCAGTGCTATATTCTCCCTATATTCGACTATTGCGATACCGCTTGGTGTGGCCTTTCTGACACAGCTCTGAACCAATTAGAAGTCCACCATAGATTTATACTTAAAATTCTTTACA